TGTGTCGTGTTGTTTTCTGTTTTTTTTTTTTTTTTTTTTTTTTGTTTTGGGGGGGGGGGGGGGGGGCGCGGGAGGGGACGTACAGGATGTCTAATATGATATGTGTAATATGTGTTAGATAGCCAATACCCAGGGATGTTGTATATATTGTGTACAAATGAGATGACGTGCAATATGATATCAATTCCGATGTTTTGTATTATGTTATTTGAAATGTTGTATTACCCTTTTGTGAGGCCTCTGTTTGGGGTCGTTTTGAGTCTTTTGTTATAGTATGGTTTTCTAATAAAATGTTTTATAAAAACAAACAAACAAACAAACAAAAAACCTCTCACACTCACTGTCTACTCTTGATTTTTCAGGCTGCTCTTCCTGATGACATGGAGAAGTCAGAGGCAGTTGTAAAGTTTGCAGCAGAGTGCTACAGAGTTTACTCTTTGTTGTTTCTTCAGAACCCACCCATTACAGCTGTGTGGCCCAAAGAGCCAGTCTCACCACTTTACATACAACACGTGGACTTAAAGAAATTGGAGGGCACTAAATCAAGAAAATTTCTGTGGCCAATACTGTTTTCTGAGGGAAACATGATTAAGAATGGTGTAGTATATGATTAAAAGTAGCAAGTGTTTCCAGTATAACAGCTGTTTACAGTAAAACATTCAGGCATAAAGAATAGAAAAAAAGAATAGAATAGAAAATAGAAAAAAAATAGACTAGAAAATAGAAAAAAATAGAAAAAATAGAAAAAAAATTAGAAAAAAAATAGAAAAAAAGAATAGAAAGAGGGTGAACCAGCAGTCTTGCAGTGTGTGCCCCTCTCGCTGAGGAAATGCCTGAACCTTAGCTTTGCTACTAAAAATACCCTTGAATAGGGACATGTAAGAGGGTTTGGTATTTATTAGAAGTCTTCAGATATCTCATGAAAAATGTTCTTCCTTGAAATAACTGTACTCCTGCCTGTCTCCGAATTGCTTGTTCCTTACTGTTTTTAAGCACTCCTTGCATGCAAACAATTTCTTTGTTAAAAAAAAAAAAAGTGCATCATCTGTACTTATTTTCCACTTATGGAGCCACAATGCTGGTATAATGCTGTCATGACTGTCTTCGCAGCAACTGTGATACAACTTCAGATGTTGATTTCTGTTAAAGAACAAGTCCCCTGTTTGCTGGATCTGGAAATGTATAATCCTTGCACTCAAGATTTGCTAAACTCACTAGATTCACACAGAACACGAGTATGTATAAATGTAAGTAGCTTGAACATCAAAGGAGGATTGGAGCCAGCATGTCTGCAGCCTTGTAGACATAACAGATATGCACTCAGCTCTAAGGAAGGGGTAGATACGAGTAACCTTGCTGTTGTGTTTTTCCAAAGGTAGCCCTAAAAGGGGCCATGGGGCTTCCAGAACTGCTTTAATCTTCTCCTGAGATTTATGTATCTTAGGGGTGCTTGTACATGTGATGAAAATTGCCCTTTTTTGTGACTTAACTGAGTTACAGTTTTCACATACAGGTTTTTCTTGTGATTTCAATGTCTTTTTGGTGATTCAAAATAAAATACATCCTGATGTATTTTAGTTTGAATTCCAGGAATTAAATTGATGCATCCACGTATCCGTCACATGAAAACAAAAATGTACTCAATGACATTTAATGAGCCCCTTCATCCACCAGATGTTGCTTCAAATTGCAGCTAGGAGGGGAAGAGGATACCTGCAATTTTTAGGTAATTGGGGGTAATGTTTTTCTTCGGACACCAGATGTTGCAGTCCCCCCAGCCCGACACTAATCAATCTTTGTTCTCCTGTACGGACACCTGCACCCCGCCCCCCCCCCACTCCTTCAGCCATGACATGGCCAGGGTGACAACAGCACTATCACCCCATAATCTGCCCCCGGGTCCATCCAGGAATGAAGAATCGCTTAGCCACCTAAAGGGGTAAGGGATACAGAGTGATACCTGTATTGGTCTACAGGCAAAAGGAATCAGAACTCATGGTAGAGGTGATATCTTTTATTATACCAACTGGATATTTGCACCAGAAGAAATTATTTGCAAGTGTGACACAGATTGTGCCTGCCACTTTAAGGGCTTGAGCAGGCTGCAGATCAAGTGGGAGCAGACCCAATCACAAGAGTCAGATGGCACCCAGGAGGCTGCCTGATTGGTATAGGGTTAGGCAGTCAGGCTATAAGACAGGCCCTGAGTGCAGAGCCGGGCAGTTGCTGCAGGGAGCCAAAGGATGAACATCGGCCAGCTAGAGATCTGCTGCTCTTAGATGGAAGAGGTTCCTGATCCTGGGGCATGACCTGAAACTGCACCCTGCTGGGTTGGATGGTGCGGTGGGGCTGCCTGTGGCTGGGCAGTCTCCAGGAAATGCCACACCTGTGCCTCCCTAGTGAAAGGCAAGTATGGGGCGCTGGGAGCACACCCCGACAGAAAAGCACAGGGCCAAGGCCCACAGAGTGGGGCCTGAGACCCACGGGGCACAAGCCCCAGAAGCCCCAGTGAGGGGGCGGAGTGAGAGCCAGAGGCCAGTAGAGCAGGGCCTGTGAAGGGGGCCCTCAAGAACTGTGCATAGGCTGGCTGGAGTAGAGGCCCAGCACGAGTGGAACAGCAGGCCCAGGACGGGCCCGGATTAACTATGTGGTGCACAAGCTCAGAAGGCAGACCTGTATGGGAGAGAGGGCTAGCTGCCAAGAACCTACCTATAAAACCTCAACGGGTCAGTGCTGGGGCCAGGACCAAGACGGTCAAAGGGCCTGAGCACCCACTGCAAGGGATGGCCATAGCTAGAGGCTTAGACTCCTGATTGGCCTAGAGGCAAAGCCAGTGAGTCAAGTGGGCAGACTGCCCTAGACAGGTGGATGGTCCAATGATTGGATCGGCCTCGAGATGGCCCCCTGTCACAGCAAACTTTCAGGTGCACATACCCTCACTTTCATTTGCCTTCAGAGCAAATGGCTCCCTCCTGATCACAGGATTTTAGCCCATATCCTCCATGCACAAGTTTACCCCATAGTTAGATCCATGGCAGCAGGCAGTCCTTAATGAGATCAGCATTGTCACCCTATAATCTGCCCCTGGTTTAATCCAGGAATGCTTAAAGGGGGCACCCTGGACTACTTTCATTTGCCCTTCAGTCAGAGCAAATGGCGCCCACCTTCTCACAGCACTGGCTGCAGCCCATGGCCGCTGCCACACTTCTAATTTTTTTTTCTTGTGCTGCCTGGTGCACCATTCATGATTGCACAAGGTCACTCCACTGTCAGACCCATGGCAGCAGGCAGCCCTTAATGAGAATGGTATTGTCATCACCATATCTGCCTTTCAGACGCCCTTAGAGCAATTTCCATACCACTGAGTGAAGCCCGTAGCCACCATGCTTCATAAAGTTCTTTTTTTCCCTTGTGCTGGCTGCCACGCCAGTCACAATTGCACAGGCTCACCCCACAGTCAGACCTATAGGTGCTCGTACAATGGCAGCAGGCAGCCCTTACTGACAACACTGTCATTAGGATTACCGTATTTCCAGTTTGAAAAAAAAAAAGTGCCCTGGTCCAGCCCATTCCATTGTCCCTCACTCCAAGCCACAGCCCCCTGAGCCATCCTGCTTCCCCTAACTCGTGACCCAGGCACCCTTGGCCCTGCCAGTGCCCCTCACTCCCAACCCGCAGTACCCTGCCCCCCTGTGCATGCTGTTGCCACTTGTGGATTTACTGTTTTTTCCACTTTTACAAGTTAAGCCACTCTTCCTAATGTTGCAAACAGCTGTTGATTTGGCAGTGATAACAACAAAGCCAGGAACAAAGTCTGGGAGCCTGGCCTGATGATCTCCTAATGGCACACACTGAAAGAAAAGAATAGAAAAGGTTTTTACCTAATTAACCTTTATTGATTTATTAAGCATAATTTACATAAATAACCAAATGTCACAGCATTTACAAGGTAATCGTTATCAAGAAGCAGTACTCTTCAACTTTTTAAACCTCAGGCAATATGCAACGAGTTTTATTACAAGAACTTTTATACCAGCAAGCAATAACCATAGGCATTGTTTATGTTTAAATCAACAAAGAAGTGATAACAGATAATCGGCAACTATCACTGCACATAAGCAATACTGGTTTTCTGTTTCCAAACTGGACTGCCCCTCTCTCTCCCTTTCTCATGAATGCCTCCTGGTGCATTGCCCGAATGACACTTGGCCACAGACATGACGTGCCTGCCTTGCTATCTCCTGCAACCCACACCGTGCAGGTACTGATGGCCCTGACAGTCCTATCTGTCCGGGCATCGTTAACAGGCTTCCTATGTGATCTGGGGTTTTTTGGCAGCAGCAGCAGCAGTGCAACAAGCAGAGCTGGAAATCAAAGAGTGCGGGGAATTATTCTGTGCTCTGCAAATCAGACGAGTGGATAAGAAGCGTTTGAGAAAAACCACCGAGAAGGGCTTGCCTGCCTGTCCAAGTTGTTGGACCGCAGGCTCTGAATGGCTGCAAACAATTCACCAGCAGGGCCTCCTGCTTGGCGTTGCCCTTCACCTTCCTGCATGACGATCCAACCCCCTCCCCACCACCACCACCTGTCAGTTTAGTTGTCAGTTGAATGAAGCCCTCCGCCCCTCTCCCCATCATGTCACATCCCAGTCTAATCACAGGTGTCAGTTCACTGCAATTGCCTGCCCCCTCCTTCACGTCACAGCCCAACCTAATCTCAGGTGTCAGTTCAGATGTCAGGTGACTTAAAGGTTCCCCATGGCTTAACATACCAGTTGTGGAGAATGATGTCCCCAGTCTCTCCTCTTCAGTGGACTTGCCAAGGGCCAGTACTAGTGAACTGCCACTGTTTTCCTTGCTTGAGACACCAGGACTCTCAGTCAGACCTGTGGCTGGTGAGCTCTCAGGAGCAAAGGATGGCCTGGATACCTCTAGTTGTCTCATTGCTTGGCATTCGAGTGCCTCCATTAACAGTTGCAGGTACTGATATTGTGGCATGTTACGCATGGGGGTGCCCTTCTGCCGAGCTCTTGCTACTTCACGTCGGAAAGCAACTCTCATATTCTTGGCCTTTACCTTGTACTGGACCGGTCTTGTTGTGCCCCCGCTAGTTAAGTCTCCTGGACACATCCAAGAAGATGTGCAAGTTTGCAGTCAGGCTGTTGCCAATGCTGAACTGGATTAACACCTCAGGGTCCCCCAGCACCCACACCAGGCTCTTAGTTTCTGCATAGGACCAAGTTGTTCTAGTCTTATGCACCCTGTGGCAAAGTGGGGTCCCTAACTAGCCACAGAGCTAATTTCCCACCTGCCTCTAGGCATGCCACCCACCTGTCTTTCCTGCCACGCCTTGTTGTAATTAATTAGGTTGTTAATTAAGGTGGGAGGCTGCCCATTTTACACCCCGATTTTGGGGGAGCTATCCATGGCTCTGTTCCACCCCTACACCATGGCCCAAGCCTCGCAGATGGCATTTCAGGCAGTTGGCTCAACCGTCCCCTTTGCCCATTAGTTGTAGCCCCACTCATGGGACCTTCAGCTTCCATATAAGCCCTGGCCCTGTCTCAGGCCAGCTGGGACCCCAAACTTCTTTGCTTATCATGGGCATCCCTCACAGGGGGCCCCTGGCCCTTTTGACCCTTCCGGTCCTGGCCCTAGCATTGACCAGTCAAGTCCCTTGGTTGGGTTTACACCTCCTGCCTGCACTTAGGGATTGGGGTCCCCCATTCCCAGCTCAGGTGCTTCTAGAAGTGTTCTTGGCCCTGCGGGGTCACTCCCCAGCAGGCTCAGGCACTTCCTAAAGCTTACCTGACCTATCCTGCTCTGATGGCAAATGGCCCACCCAAAGGTCAGTCAGACCTATAGGTGCTCGTACAATGGCAGCAGGCAGCCCTTACTGACAACACTGTCATTAGGATTACCGTATTTCCAGTTTGAAAAAAAAAAAGTGCCCTGGTCCAGCCCATTCCATTGTCCCTCACTCCAAGCCACAGCCCCCTGAGCCATCCTGCTTCCCCTAACTCGTGACCCAGGCACC